TGAGGTTTTAGTTGATGACAGAGAAGAAACTGATGTTCAGGATGTTGTAGAAGAGCAAGGTGTTGATGGTGGTGACTATCAATTGACAAGAGATAGAGTTAGAGGAGATATTAGAGAACCTGTAAGGTTTAGAGACTACCGACTCTAGCTTTACTTTCTTATCAAGATTTAATCTTTAGAGAGCTTAAATCTTATGAAGAAGCCATTTCTAGTCAGCAATCTAAGGAATGACAGATTGCTATGAATGATGAAATAGACTCCTTGATTAAGAATGAGACCTGGACTTTAGTTCCTAGACCTGCAGGCAAATCCATTGTTGATTGCAAGTGGATTTTCAGTATTAAGGAGGATAACACTGATAAGGTACCTATAAGATTTAAGGCTAGACTTGTGGCAAAAGGTTTTACACAAAAGGAAGGTTTAGACTATAATGAGATCTTTTCTCCTGTGATTAAATATACTACCATTGGAGTTATGTTGGCTCTTGTTGCTCATTATAATCTTGAAATTGAACAAATTGATGTAAAAACTGCTTTTTTACATGGTGATCTTGATGAAGTGATTTATATAAAACAACCACCTAGCTATATTGATAAATCAAAATCTGACCATGTATCTTTGTTAAAAATGTCTTTACATGGTTTGAAGCAATCACCAAAACAATAGTACATAAGGTTTGATACTTATGTTTCTTCTGTTGGTTTTGTTAGAAGTGAATTTAACCATTGCTTGTATTTTAAAAGAGATGATGAAAATGCTATTGTTGCTTTTATACTCTTATATGTGGATAATATGCTTCTAATTGGACATAATATGTATGTCATTAATGAAATTAAAAGATCTTTGAGTGCTGAATTTGAAATGAAAGACCTTAGACATGCTAGGAAGATATTAGGCATTGAAATTACTAGGAAAATGCATGATAGAAGTCTAATTTTGAAACAAACTGCATATATTGATAAATTGGTAACTAGATTTGTTCTGCATAATTCAAAATCTGTGTTTGTACCTCTTGCTAGCCATTTTAAATTGAGTAAAGACCAATGTCCTGTAAATGAATCTGATATAAAACAAATGGAAAAGATCCCTTATGCAAATAGGACCTGTGATGTATACCATGGTTTGTACTAGGCCTAATGTGGCTCATGCTATTAGTAATCTTAGCAGATTTATGGCTAATCCTGGTTTCGAACATTGGACTACATTAAAATGGTTATTAGGGTACTTGAAAGGTTCTTCACATTTAGGATTGTGTTTCTCTGCCTGCAATGATGATGTAATACTTAAAGGTTTTGTTGATTCTGACTTTGCTGGTAATGTTGATAATAGAAAATCTACTACTTTATATGTGTTTACTTTGTGTGGAACACGTATAAGTTGGAAATCTCAATTACAACCTGTTGTTGCTCTGTCTACCACTGAGGCGGCATATGTGGCTGCAACTGAGGCCATAAAGGAAGCTTTGTAGCTAAAAGGTTTACTGTCTGAAATTAATGAATTGTCTAATCCTGTTACATTATATTCTGACAGTCAAAGTGCTATACATTTATGCAAAAATCCAGTTTTTCATGAAAGAATTAAACATATTGATGTTAAGTTGCATTTTATAAGAGATATTGTTGTTAAAGATGCTTTGTTACTTGAGAAAATTGCTACCCAATTTAATCAAGCTGATATGGGTACAAATGTACTGCCTCTTGCCAAGTTTAAATCTTGCTTGCAACTGTTGAAAATTGATATTGGGTGATTTGCTAAGTGCAGGTACCAATTCTGAACTTGATGCTTTGAAGGGTGATCACTAGAAGCTGTTTTTTTACCTAGTATAGTGTAGAATTAGTTGCTTGATTAACCACTGGCATCAAGGTGGAGATTGTGGGTTGTGACGCCAGTGTCCAGCCCACTAAGCGATGATGATATGGCCTTCGGCCCAATTATTTATTACACATTGTTAACTGAAAATAAGCCCAGTCTCTTCCTCAGCCCAAGAACCGGTCCAGCCAAATAAGTGAGTGCTTCTCTGGCCGTTGGATCTATTTGGATGCCCAATCTCGAGACTAGATATTTTGGAATATTCAATTGGTTTATTCATTCATTCGTCTTTTCAATCGTGAGGGTTTTCTAGAGTCTTCAACTTTCTCTATGTTCTTTCTTCTTCTTCTTCTTCTTCTTCTTCTTCTTCTATGAGGAATCCATGAATTAATTTCTGGAGTTGTGTTTCTTTGTGAATCTGGTGAAAGAATAGTGTGGTAATTGTTGGTATCGTTGAGCTCTTCTGGTCCATAGAAGAAGCTACACGATTTGGTCTGTGAATCGTGAGGGTTGAGGAGATCTTGGCTTGTTTGTGTTGATTCCTTCGGTGATAGTGTTCTAGGCCTTCGATCGTTGATACCTTTGATGTTCAGTGGTTATAATGTATAAGTCCATCGTAATAGGGTTCGAGATTTGTAGATCTGTAACTTTGTGTTCGATCTTTGTATAACAGTCTTTTTTCTTTTTTACCAAAGATCACTTATCGAAGCACCACAGATGATTGTTGACAACATTGTCGATGTCACTATTGTCGGTAATCGCTGACTGATATAAATAATAATTTCCCTTATAATCATCCTCCATAGAAATGTACATTAATGATCATCGGCGGAATCGAAATTTTGTTAGTGGTTATTTGCTTCATTTCGTCCTTTTGTTATTATTTCTGAAAATGTCCCCTTAAAAAATTCGTCTGTGCACCTCAATTGACGGAGTCGCCATTAAGTTTAGGTTTGCATTTTGACAAACTGTTCTAAATGGTTTCATCTGGAAATATGTAGAAAAATGTCTAAATACGTAGACATGTACTTCAACTGTATTACAATAATTATTTTATTCTATGAGATTTTTTGCTATCTATGTCGTCACTAACATCAAATTGTTACCAAACAGGCTCTAGGTTTGCATTTTGACAAACTGTTCTAAATGGTTTCATCTGGAAATATGTAGAAAAATGTCTAAATACGTAGACATGTACTTCAACGGTATTACAATAATTATTTTATTCTATGAGATTTTTTGCTATCTATGTCGTCACTAACATCAACATCATCACCGTAGACATTTTTTTCATGAATATGCTAAGTGAAAATCCTTAATTCACAACTTGAAGATTCAAATCGTTCATGAATTTGATGCAAGCAGCGTTAATTGATGGTTCAAACCTATCTTAAATTTAGCTAAGATTGTAGTATAAAGTGTACAATTTGAAAAAAAAAACTATTGCATTTGAATGAATTGACTTTCAACTTTAAATTGCTGCCCAAATAATAGTGATACGAAAACATGCATTTACTAGTGCCCAAATAATAGTTACACAAAATAATAAACATTTAGTAAAATTTAAATTCTATGTTGAAGGGGCATTAACTAAGAGGAAAGAAATTTACATATAAGTCAATCTAACCATTAATTTTGGTGATTTCTACTCCAATAATGCTATGTAATCCAGCTACTGTTTTACGCCAGGTTGGATGTCAATTAAATAATTTTACATATTAAATGTGATCCATATATTTTATTTTAGAATAATATTATCTAGTAACAATGGTGTGATGACACCAACCAAAGTGGTCACACTTGATATTTTCAATTAGAATAATGCTATTTAACATCAGTTTAATAGGCAATACTAGCGTTATTAAATAATATATTCAATTATATATAAGGAATTATGGCATTTTTTATTTTATTTTATTTTTTTTTGATACCCAAGTGTCCACCTTCGACGACTAACTCTGGGATCTACGCCTTGGCCCGTCAAGACGCAGACCAGGTAAACCGCGGGATGTTCCCCAAACTGGCCAGGGTCCAAGAGCTCCCTCCAATGATCTGCCAAAGTGCTGAGCGAGTCAACACATGTTGCACCTTGCCTTCCAAGAGAACTCATGCCTTCCAGGATAAATCTTGTCTTCCAGGAGAGAGCCTGCCTTCCAAGAGCCCCACGAATCGAACCCACGACCTCTGAACTGCCATCAACTAAGAGTCCCGTCCTTTGTCAGTTGGGATGTGCTCCGGGGGGCAGGAATTATGGCATATTTAATAGGACCTATAATATGCTAAACACCTAGACCATGTTCAATATCACTAATACTAAATAACATTATTCTTTTAATTCAATAAATCATATGATATTGTATTTAAATGAATATATTATTAATGTCATGCAATGGAATGCCACCTAGACTAGTGTTTGACGCCAACAATTTTGAATAGCATTATTCTTTTAACGCTTCTTGCAAATTGTTCAATAAATAGTTCCATTTCCTACATTTTATTTCTTAAATCTTGACACCCATCCACACCACTAAAACAAAGTTCTCTCAAAAAATGGCACTACCAAGCCACCCCAATATCTTCACTCTAGTCACGACTAACTCTGGGATCTACGCCTTGGCCCATCAAGACGCAGACGAGGTAAACCGCGGGATGTTCCCCAAACTGGCCAGGGTCCAAGAGCTCCCTCCAATGATCTGCTAAAGTGCTGAGCGAGTCAACACATGTTGCACCTTGCCTTCCAAGAGAACTCATGCCTTCCAGGATAAATTTTGTTTTCCAGGAGAGAGCCTGCCTTCCAAGAGCCCCACAAATCGAACCCACGACCTCTGAACTGCCATCAACTAAGAGCCCCGTCCTTTGCCATTTGGGATGTGCTCCGAGGGGCAGGAATTATGGCATATTTAATAGGACCTATAATATGCTAAACACCTAGACCATGTTCAATATTACTGATACTAAATAACATTATTCTTTTAATTCAATAAATCATATGATATTGTATTTAAATGAATATATTATTAATATCATGCAATGAAATGCCACCTAGACTAGTGTTTGACGCCAACAATTTTGAATAGCCTTACTCTTTTAACGCTTCTTGCAAATTGTTCAATAAATAGTTCCATTTCCCACATTTTATTTCTTAAATCTTGACACCCATCCACACCACTAAAACAAAGTTCTCTCAAAAAATGGCACTACCAACCCACCCCAATATCTTCACTCTAGTCCATGTTTTTAGCATTATATCCCTAGCTTACAGCCAAAATGATACAACCCAAAAAAGATTTCCTGCCATTCTCATCTTTGGTGATTCTCTAGTAGACACAGGTAATAACAATTACATAACTACCCCACTCCGAGCAAACCATGCCCCATATGGGGAGTCATTTCCCAATGAAGTTCCCACAGGAAGGTTTTCTGATGGCAAGGTCATTTCAGACTTTTTGGCTTCTGCATTAGCGTTAAAGGAGTTGGTCCCACCAGTTCTTGATCCAAAGTTGACAAATGAAGATATTCTTACTGGGGTTTGTTTTGCATCAGCAGGTTCTGGATATCATGATCTTACTAATGCCTTATATAATTCTATCTCTGTAATGAAACAGCCTGACATCCTTAAAAGTTACGTAGACAAACTCAAAGGTGGTGTTGGAGAAATTAAGGCTCAAAAAATAATTGGTGATTCTATGGTGGTGGTTGTAGCAGGAAGCAATGATTTTCTTGTCAATTACTATGGCATCCCCGCAAGAAGGAATCTGTTTGGGCTCAATCTTTATCAAAATTCACTGTTGTTACGGGTTCAAGATTTTGTCAAGGTATATCAAGAACCACCCTTCAATATCAATTTTATATAGCACAATCTTAATAACATGCTTGCCAGTGCTTTTAAGTGATTATAAATGGTGGGTTCTACTAAATGTGTAGATAATAAGTGAGTAATAATTGTGAATCCTATGATGTTTGAATAATGAGTAATAAGTGTGAGTCCTACAATTTGTGTTAATAAATGTTGCCATTAATTAATTTGTATATTGTCTTATTGTGTCTGCAGGCTCTATATGATATAGGATGTCGCAATATAATGGTAGCTGGTCTTCCTCCGCTCGGGTGTGGACAGGGACCATCTCTTATATTTACAACATGTTTGGACCCTAAGAACTCAGATTCTCAGACTTATAATATTAAGCTTCAAGAGCTATTACCCCAAATTCAGGCAACACTTCCAGGCAGTAAACTTGTTTATGCAGATATATTTACCCCATTTGTGGACATGGTTACTAACCCAGTAAAGTATGGTAAGCCGATCTATCTCATATAAATTCAACGAAGTTTTGTACTTTTTTAATTTTTGAACTTTTTGAGGCTACTGACATGCGAGACTAACGATCTCTACGTACATCGACTTCTAGTAACTACTTTGTGACATGACAGACCAGTATTTTTGTGTTTGCAACAGGATTTTTGGTGACCACCAAAGGATGCTGTGGGACTGGAACTTTTGAAACGGGTCCACTTTGTAGTCCTTTAACTCCTGTATGTTCAAACCCTGCCCAGTATGTGTTTTGGGATTCAATTCATCCAACTCAAACAGCTGCTGGTTACATAAGTCAGTACCTGCAAACCAATGCTCTTTCTCAGTTTTAGGTGCTAGTTTGAGAGAAATTATAATGGGTCATAACTTATAATGAAAAGTAACACTAGGTCACACAGAGTGCGAAGATAATAAGTGGACATACGTTAAAATTAGCGTTGAATTGTAACTTCAAATTATAATGTCTATCAATCAAGAAAATCATGGCTTCCCGGTTCCGATGAATTGTCACAAGTTCACAATCTCGGTTTTAGTTTTTCAAGATGTACCACAATTTTTTGATTAGTCATATATAATATGAAGTATCAGTTCCAGTTATTTGTCGAAGAAATCATGTTCCCTCACAAATAAACATTAACTTAGTCCTAGATACGTGATCACATATCCGTCACACCATGTACTAGGTGAACCATTGTCTCACATTCCGGCCTAAGTGCAACAATAACTCGATGACATGTTATAGACCCTGTCGATAATAACCTCGAGTTATGTTATTTAGCGCAACTCGTGTTTTAACATCAAATTATGTATCACTACATTGTAATTTTAATTAAATGTAATAAAATCACATTAAATTAAATTTATCATTTAATGTTACATAGTGCCTTGGGCCACATAGTGTTGTTCATTAAGCTCACTACAATTATGAAATACCATGTAACTCCTTGAGTTTCACGCTTTCAGAAATGTTGGTATAGTTTATATTGTTAGGGTTAAGAACATAGTTATTAAGTGGGTATTTGGTGAAGATTAAAATTAGATTTTTAGTAGATTGTGATATAAGTTTTTGAAATGTGTGGTTGAAAAGATGTGGTTAATATTGATTGTTTGACTTTGACTTAGATTAAAATCAGATTTTAATCCGACCCAAACATGACCTAAATCTGTCTGGTCAATGAATATGATACAATCATAAGTCATTCTGTCATTGATAAACGCACAAATACAAAAAATTAATCAACACCGATGTATCAGTTTAATATAATCTATTATATATTAAGGTTATGTTTGGTATTTCCCAATGTGTGTGTGTGTGTTTATTGGTCGATGGAGGGAATAGCAAGTTTCCCTTTTTTTATTGGTCAACATATAAAATAAATAATTTACTATTTTTTTAAGGGGACAAAAAAGTTGTCTTTGACTTTAGAGTTACTTTTACTTTTAAAATAAGTAATATTTCTACTTAAAAAAATAAAAATGTGAAATAAATTTCTGCAATGTACATGTATATAAATGTGTGCAGATTTTTGCCATATAATACTACAATTACTAAGCAATAAGGCTTGTTTATACATCAATGGCTTCTGCTGCCCTCGTCTTCATGCTGGGCAGTGCAATTTGGCTGCATCATCCCCAACACAGCCAATGGTTTCGCGAGACAAAATTCCCGGCCTTTCTTATATTTGGCGATTTGACCATTGATACGGGTAATAATAACTACATACTGACACTATTCAAAGGCAATCATCTAGCATATGGCGTCGATTTTTCCAGGCCACATTGCAACTGGGAGGTTTTCAAATGGAAAACTCGTACCTGATACCTTAACATCCATGTTAGGCATCAATGAAACTGTCCCTCCATTCCTGCAGCTAAACATATCAGATGCTGAACTACTTACAGGAGGCAGCTATGCATGCTTCAGCAGGATTGGGATATGATGAGGCTTACAGCAGCTATTTTCTCATGTAATCCCATGTCGAAGCAGCCAGGATTGTTTTAAGGATTATATGCAGAGGCTTGAGAGAATTGATGGTGAAACAGAGGGTCAAAGAGTAGTTGCTAATGCTTGGTCATTGTTAGTGCTGGACCTAATGAATTCATTTTTAACTACTATGACATATCCACAAGGAGGCTTTAATTCGACATCACACAGTACCAAAGCTTCCTGTTAAATAAGCTGCAAAACTTTGTTAAGGTCCAATCTCTCTCTTTCTCACACACATTCACATGTTATACTCTACTGTCTAAAGCCTGGGATAAATACGTTCTCACAACAGTATTTTTGTCTCAAACTACTTCTGCCCTGTCTTGTGGTGCCATACTCGAGGTTTCTTCGTGCATGTGATTATGTTTCTTTTTTGTGTGCACATCGACAACAAATGTGTGGTTAAAAAATTGGTAAAAGTTGGTGGATCCTAAAGAATATGTGGATAAAAATAGAGTTTAATCAACTTATACGCTTTGCCAAACATCCACTTAGTCTCAACAACACCAAATCCTCAGCTGGCAGCCTGGCCGAAGGCCGATCCTCTTCCCTTCACTCTCCTTTACCTAATATGAACCTTGAGCAATCAAAACCTTCCCTTGAGAGCTAGGTATTTATTTTATAAAACCACCTCCCCACTTAGCTCTACATCAGGCCCTTCTTTTGCAAGAATTGAAAAGGTGTCAATATTTTACAAATATTAAGGGTCAGTTTGGCAGTACTTCTGCTTCTTGTAAAAGAGTTTCCTCCTGAGGAAGCTACCTTAAAACAACTTATTCTAAAAACTCTTTTAGTAAAACAAAGTACTTTCATAAAATTATCCAACGGAATCAAAAATAGCTTCCTAGTCTCAAAAGCCTTGCCAAATGGACCCTAAATATAGGGGCATTAACTAACATAATGTTTGTGGTTTACTAATTCACAAGTTCCAAGAATAGCCGAATTTACACCTAATCATTCCCAATTTTTTTATACATCCAATTGTCCCAGAGGCTATTGCTCTGGTAAGATCCTTTGTAACCATAAAAAGATCTAATAAATAGCAAAATTTGTACTATCTTTCACCTTAATTTGAAGGTGCAAGAACTGTATAAATCTTGGGTGCCATAGGATAATTGTATCACGGCTTCCTCGAATAGTTTGTCTTCCAATCCAAGTCAATGCCAATCTCCAATTCTGAGAAGTTGCATAGACAAGGAGAATTCAGATGACATGTCTTACAATAACAGGCTAGAAAAGCTGCTTCCACAAATACAGCAAGAACTTCCAGGGAGCAAAAATCCTCAATCTATGCAGAAATATACACTATACTTAAAGATATGATTGATTACTCTCAAATATATGGTAAACCTTCAAGATCTGCTCATCTCTGTTCATCCAATATTTCGTATAGGATGCATTATTGATTTTTCCTTCCTTTCAATCCGAATGCTTTTTCAAAAGCTGCTTCAGCAGATTATTGTCAAAGTATCAATATCTTTTGAGGTGAGCTCGGATCCTCTTGATTTAACCCGAGGCACCTGAAGGTGGCCCAGAATAGATAGACTCATTCTTCAAGTGAACTTTACCTCAAGGGCCTTTTTGTTCGGATAACACTTTTTTCACTAGAGCTTTCATGTCAAGTTGTTGATAATGTTTAAACACTTCATTTGTTGAAATGCTAATATGTTCATTATGCGGTAGATTTTGTGGGAGTCAGAAAAGAGTGCTGTGGAACTGGACTACTGGAAGCTGGTCCTCTCTATTCTCCAGTTTGTGCAAACCACACCCAGTACTTATTCTGGGATAGCATTCATCCTGGTGAATCAACATAGATACCTTCCTCAGCATTTAGATATTGCGCTGAGGAGGTCTTGACCATCTACATATAGTGCATTGATGGATCTTAACCGTGTACTCGAATGTATTATAAAAGATTTGTGAGACTCACTTCCGAGCTGATGGGACTTTGGCCCGCGTGCGGGGGTGCTTAACAGTCTATGCACACATGATCAGTTTACACATTACCATATATGCTCAGAGGGTAAATTTTTTGTGAGATTTTCATGCATATTGTAATGTGATGAGATTACAAATTTTTTTAGTACTCATTTCAGCTGGATGATTTTATTATGATTATAAGATGACATTATTTACAAAAATTGAATTGATTTACATACACTGATTTCATTTTATTGCAGACTTATCATTTTTAAACGACTTTAAGAAAATGCCTCACGATCTTTTGTTACTATTATTACTATTATGGTATTTTAAAATATGAATTGTTAAGTGATATAAACTAGAGTTTTGGTAAAAGTGTATAGATGAGAAAGTATAATAATTTTCAAAATTCTCCACCAATTGAGCCCATTAACTCGTATAATTTCAAATGTTTTCTTATAAGCAGCATTTCAGTTTTGACAATCTTGAGAAGCCTATTGATTTTGAAGCCACAACCACGACTTTTTAAATTTATTTGTCTCGTTTGAATTCAAAATGTATACATCATTTTGGACCCCTGCTCTTTTTTTTTGTTCATAGAATGACTTTCTTTGTCTCGCATATGATCGGTAGCAGATCGTAGTCAGCCTTGATGATGGGTCAAACATCTAATTGGTATTCATCATCGACGTACTTCACATTCTGGCTCTACTAGTGTTACTCGAGGCGGGTCATGATGCAAAGCATCTTCTTCCCGAGTTCACACACTTCAGCAGCCGGTGATCACTTGTCATAGAACATGTAAACACTTGACAGGTCAATTTGGTTGCCATTATGTTTGTCTGGTAGGCTGGACTATATTGGATTGTAATGTATTGATTTAAGGGAGACGCATTTGTGATAGAATTTGGCAATTGTTATAGCAGTACTATACTGTAGCATATAATACTTGCTTTATACTTGATAATACAGCAAGTCATTATGTCTTACCCCAGCCATGGAAATTATTATAAATTTCTACTGGACTAAAGTCCTGTTCGTATCCAAAATGTGATGCCTCTTCGCTGATAATCAGAAAAATTTGATACCATGGTGGTATTCAGTCATAGAAGATTTGTCCTAGTTTTAAGCGTAGTGAATTTTTTTAAGTCTTGGCTTAGAAATCCTTTTCTTCTGCCAGAGTTGGAGCAAACAGCATGAGATCTCCAGGGTGATGATAAGTTAGAAGAGAGAAATTCTAAGCACCTATAATTACTTAGGTGTTTGAGAGGCAGCAATACTTGATTCTGCTAAGGAGAATACTACCAGACTAATCCATGTGGTCGAGCAAAGTACTCTATTTCTATCCACTTTCTCGTAACTCTCCACACCATTTCACCACCTGCACAACCAGAACCAGGACATCCTTACATACCACCAATATTTCCATAACCTTGTTGCTCTTTCGCCATCTCTATACCCTCCCAACAGCATTTTGTGCATAGCCATGAGGATAGCTAGCAACAAACAGAATTTAAGATTCAAAAGATGATATAAAATGCTATTAGTTTACACAAAACTAGTGACAGAAAAAACATGATTCTGACATATTAGAATACTGCAGTGCTCCCACTAGGTAAACTACCTTAAATGGCAATCAGTCCGGACAGTTTCTCACATACATCTGAAACTCGCCAGGAATGAGCAAAAACTTGGATTCCATAATTCAGCATTCTCATTTCAGAGACTCATCAGATTTCAAGAAACTCAACGGAGAACTATGCACTGAGAGTAGGAAGTCCAGAGATAACCAGCAAGACACGTTCTATGATGAAAAGAATATGGACCAATATCGCAAATATTTCAATACACTCAACACAGCAACAAGCTATAATAGATGAATAATGATGAAAGTTAAGTGCATACTATGTCATTGAAGTTAATTCAGTTTACAGGTTTTTGTACCCTGCATGAACAATTTAAACAGCCACATGCACCACTCCTCACATCCCAAGCAATTCAAGCAAACGAAGTCATTAAACTATATAATCATATATCTTGTTTCAAAATGTCATGATTTCAACTACAACATACAAGTTGTGTGCAAAAAGCTTACAAGATAGAGCAAAGCAAAGACCATAATACAACAAAATGACATTAAAGTGCAATAAAACTTTCACAAACTACAGTAAGTATACATGATACAGCAACAGATCGTTTTCTTACTTGGTCTGGTCTCACCTTCTGCTACTGCCACTTCCTTGAAACAACTCATTGATTCGAGCCTCAATATCCTCCACGCCATACTTGATATGCCTATCTGCATGCTTCCCAAGATCTGGAGCATTCTGCAATCTTACAATGAAGTTGCGGTACGCTGGAGATAAAGTCCCAGAAACTGAAATCCTCAACTCGTCTCTTGACTGCTCATCAAAGATCACCCACGAAGCCTGGGTTTTGCAGATCTCATCAAAGTATGAATAGAATAACTTCAGCTTTTCTTTCAAACTCTTTGAAGCTCCATTAGGAGACATAGAATTATTATCAACCTTCAAAACTCCCAAAACCTTACTCCATGAACTCCTTTGATAATTAACGTGATATTGTCTTATTTTTGCATTGTGCTTCTTAATCCAATCATTCCCCAAAAGTGTCCCCAACTCACTATCTTTCACTTTTTGCACAATATACCTCCCATTATTCATCATAAATACAGAGCATAAAGCAGAGTCCCGATAAATTTTTGACTTTGCCTCCAAATTACTCTCCAACAATTCCATAATCCATTCCATTTGAACTGCAAACGGTGAGGACAATACCCTATCATCCCCTTTCCTGTAATCAACATTGCTACCAGGTGGTGCAATACTCTCCCCAAAGATCTGTTCTAAGGATTGTCGCGAGCGACATGCAGCCCGAAGATAATTCATCACATATCGAGTTATGGGATGTAGCCCACCACCGGGAACTGCAGCCTTGGCTGGGTCCCGGCGGATCAAATTCTCTAATTCCATAAATATTCCTCTAATAACCTCTCCTAGTCTTTTCCATATAGTTATTGCTTCATTCCTTAAAGTTATACAGTATTGATCAGAAAAAATTAACTCGAATTCAGGCAACAAATCCCTCACCGTTTCGTAAACATCCAGTACCTTAAAAAGCCGCTCTGGTGCACGGCTACCTATTGCAACTGCATCTGCGAAATTCAATAGCTGAATGGTTGATCCTCTGCACACTTCCATAAAGGATAAATCAGCAGCCGAGGAGAACCCCAAAAACACGCGATCACAGAGGCGACGCTCACTTGGGAAGAGAATTCGAAGTGCGACATTAATGGCTTTGATCCATTTCTCAATCTCGTCTTCCAATTGAGTCCACAACAATTTCTGGACCTCATCAATGCTCAGCTTTTGAAGGCCCAACCTCGACAAACTCTCCTCCAAGAATTCTCTCCGGCACGTGCTATACGCGTGGGAGCACTCCTTCCCGTACCCAGCAGCCACCATCCTTTTTGCGATCTCCTGCAAGTCCCCTATAGTTCCCGCCGGTAAAGCATCAATTATTATATTATAATCCGTAATCGGGTGCGCCACGGGGATTTCATTCTCATCACCAGATTCATCCTCATCTAAGCAATCAAGATGGGTAGAGTCGCCAAGAGTCAAGTCAAAAGAATCAGCCCCGCGTTCCACAAGGCTCCTAAACTCATCCTCCAAACGGAACATTGACTGTTGCAGCAAATCCTCCGCCCGGTCAAGACAAGAAGCGATATTCTTGTCATCAGCTAACTGGTTCCAGTCCCGTATGGTAGATATCAATTGATCCATGGAATCAAGAAAGGACGACGAATCATCAGAATCCGACCAAATGGGTTGATCAGAAGCCACATAACGGGAGATCTGGCGGTCCAAAGACTTGAGGGTATGTTCCAGTGTAGCGCAATCACGTGGGTCTTCATCGGAAAGTTTTTCCGTTAACTTTTCACGTAATCTCCCGTCGAAGTTAGAGAATATCTTGAGAATATCATCAGTCATGGTGTCGGTATGGCCCAGAGTATTTGCTATATGTCGAGCAACGGCAATAAGTTTCTGTTCACCGTTTTCCTCCATTAAAGCTTCGTTTTTTGAATATGGGTTCCTTACAATCAACTCAACTCAAACGAGATTTGATGAGGTTTGGTGTAGTCTGAAAGAAAAGGGGGTGGAGAAATATGTGGTGGTGAATTGAGGGTCCGCGGTAAAGTCGTCGGAAGACGCGTTTTGTCCTGCTACTGACTAGCTCTATTATTACTGTAATAATATTTTGGCAAAGAAGAAAAAGAAAAAGGAAAAGTGAAAAGTGAAAGTAAAACAAAAAGCAGATAAAGAAAACAAGAATATAATATTGAATTATGCTATTTGTACAATATTTTTGTACAATATTGTTGATAATATTGGTTGTGGCAAAAATGTATTTGTTGAAATAATAAGTTGTTTTTTAAACTGCCAAATGATAACATGCCACATGGCATGTTGTCAACAATGATGTCAAAATCATTGTACATCAAGCACTACTCTATAATATTTGATCGTTTAATTTTAAAAACAAAAGTTAATTTGTATCCATTCTAGATTTTTTTAATCACCTAAGCCCTTGTCTGACTCCATTTTTTAAAAAATTGTTTTTTTAAAATTCATTTTCAATCACACGTTTACTTATGAAATTATATTACACATAAATAAATAAAAAATCTTACTTTTTAATTACACAATCTCCAACGAAACAATATTCAAAAATATAATTTTTTTTGTCCAAAAATGGGCTCAAACAAGGGCTAAATATCCTAAAAATCAACTCTACAAATCAAAACATCGTCGAGTACTTTTCATATATCTTGAATTCATTATGACGATTTTTCATCTTGTTAAGACAATTAAGTAAAATCATTATATCAACATTAATCACTCACATCTTAGCATCTTAGCGATCCAATACGCGTCATATGCACATGACATGTCACATTAGTGCATATCTAAAACTTCTAATGCACTCTCAATTATGTGTGTTAAGCTTCTTTTGGGGGAATGCATATCTATTTATAGACTTTAAGTTATGTGCATTGTGACACGACGAAGAGCCAATTGGCACCAATTCACAAAGTCATTCAACGCCAATCAATCGAGTAGGACGTCTATATATTCACACAAATCGTTGAGTCTTGCTTGGACAGCATGATATGCATGATCGACCATGTTACTTTCTTCACTCTGATCGACCATCCTACTTGAGAAGTTGCCTGCTGGCACCAAAGATAAAAACCAACAAAAATATGATCTACTAAAAAAGGAAAATCTAGGTATTTGAGAATTGAATATTAGTTTCTTTTTTTAATATTTGGAGAATACATGTCACATTGGCTCAAAGAACATATTGCCTTGGTGAAGCTCACTTTTATAAAAGTTTGAACAGGGAAAAAGGCTGAATCATGGGATTCTACGAGACACCCGTGGATAAAGCTTTTCTGGTTATGGGGTTTCAAATTTTAATTTTATTTTTTCTCTTTTTAATGTACAATACCTTTTACAAGAGTAGTTTAGGTACTACACATTTTTTTTTAAAAAAAATAATTAATTAATTAATTCTCTCATTTGCAAAAATCCATTAATTTGTTTTTAAAAAAAAAAACAATTTTTTAAAAATTCCTGTGCAGCCACATTCCGTATTTCGCACTCACCACGTGACCGGTAAATTAATTCACAAATCTTAAATCAATATTCGGCCACCATCAACGGCTAGACTTTATCGGAAGTTACTGTAAAATTCCTAGTTTCCATTTTATAAAGCAAGTCAAAAAAGAACAAAACGCTGCCCCACAAAACAACCCTAAAGTCAAATTCTCCTTCCCCAAAACACCCCTAAAATTTCTCGCAATCCCGACAATGTCTACCCCTCCCCCCTCCACCGCAGTCGGTGCGTATATCACAACCATTTCCGACACTCTGCGAAGCGCGGTCTCCCGCCGCCGCCCGTGGTTCGAACTCTTCGACCTCTCCACCATTTCCCGCCCTTCCTCCGTTTCTGACGCCACGGTTCGTGTCCGCAAGAATCTCTCATACTTCTGCGCCAACTACGCCACCATACTCGCCGTCGTACTCGCGCTTTCCCTCCTCTCTCACCCGCTCTCTCTCCTCACCCTACTCTCCCTAATCTCCGCGTGGCTCTTCCTTTACATCCTCCGCCCCGCGGATCAATCGCTCGTCATCTTCAACCGCACCATTTCCCATCGGGAAGCCCTATGGATCCTTATCGCATTCACATTCTCCGTAATCTTTTTCACAAACGTCGGATCATTGTTGATGTCGTCAACTCTAATTGGTTTGGGGTTTGTCTGTATTCATGGGGTGTTTAGGGATCCGGAGGACCTGTTTCTCGATGATACAGTTTTGGCTAATTCTGGATTGTTCTCTGTCGTCCTTAATGGTAGCGCCACCGCACCCACCGTCGTCACCAAAGTTTGACCCATTGATTGGGCACAGTTGGGATTTGTGAAGTAATCCTGTTCTTACGGGGGGGCCTTTTGGGGAATTTGAAGTTTCTAAAGGGAACTGTTGCACACAACATGATTTAAAAAAAAAAAAAAAAAGGTTTGACGCTAAAATAGTGACGTTTACATTGCAACTATATTAACCATGTAATTTCCAAGTATTCTTGGTATCTCAGTGTAATGTTAAAAGTATTATAGAAAAAAAATAATTTAATGGATTAAATAATTCGTGTTATTATTGTTGGTCAATAATTTCGATGTCCTGGATAACTAGCTCTGAAGGCCTTAAAATTTTAGCACATTCGAGGTCCCCACAAGTTACAAAACACGAACACGGGCTTAGTCAATCAAGTTAGACAGACCCACTCTACATTTCTACTCTATCCCACTTTGATGAATGAATAATCTTTTAACATAAGGATGACTGTTGATGAAATTATAAGTTAAAAACGCACCAAAAATTAAAATTCCAGTCCAACTTTCTATTGCCATTTGGATCATAGAGATCCAGCACCCTTTCTTTTTACCGGTGCACATGAATTAAATCCAAAAGTGGAAGAGAAAGACACAAAGATCCCAATAAACGGTAAAACAGTTGTTTCTACGTGCTCTCTTTTGCATATCTACTGGTTTCTTCCGCAACGTTTGCCCATTCACATCCAATTTTCTCCGTATATGCCACCTGCAAGGGTCGCGAGTCACGACAAAAGAAATGAATCAGATATAAAGCGGCACATTTTCCGGAAAGCAATATCGTATTATCAAAATATTTAGTCAAGTGCTTCTCATGTCCTTTGGTTGTTCAAACGGTAATATGTTCGTAGTATATTTTCTTTTCATTGGTAATAAGCAAGGAGATATGCAGACTTTCCAGTTTTCCCCAAGATGAAGGAGGAGTAAGTGCACTCAAGGTTTATAACATATACATCGAATAAAGATTCTTAATTTCAAAGATACTGTACCAAGTGCATTAAAAGATATGGTTGTATAACAAGTAATTATGCAATGGGTAGTATAAGACAAGCATGCATCAGATACCTAAATCTGAACAATACAAGGCCTGTAAAATATACAGGCAATGGGTAGTATTAGATGGGCATCATCATGGATATCTCCACGAGGATATCAATTTTGGATATTTTCCCCAAAAGGTCGAAGTTCGGTTGAAGGGAGGAACCGCCACCAAGCGACAATCGCCGCCACCACAGATTATAGGTTTTGTCTTCAGTAGCTCCAATAGCAGCTGCTGCTCTGCCAAGCTAGCTCACAAATCGTGGAAACCTGAGCATATGCCCCTAGGGCCTCAGGCATGTTGTTTATGCTCCAACAAGTAGGGTACCTGTCAGGCATTCTTAATCGCTGCAGAGAACCATCTAATGGCCCTCTTAAAGGAGTTGTGTGAAGAGTGAACCCACTGCCCTGAAGCTCCACGGTGGAGGAGAACCATCCCCAGTGGAGGCGGTACTGCCACAAGTCAACCTTCAGTCGCCTTGATGCCCCCACTTGGGTTACAGGCGCGCGTTGCTGCACCCGGCAACCAACGTTCATGCGAAACACTTTATGAAGTGTAAACTTTTTCTCCACATTTTCGATGTGGGATTTTGATGAGTGCCTTAAAAAGGAAAGAGGTCAAAATCTATTCTATTCTCGGAATAGGATCTTTCAGTTTAAGGAAAAAAAAAAAAAGCGCAGTCATTGACAGGTTTATTGGCCTTAAAATCGTCAAAGGAAAAGCTAGAGATATCTAACAGATTATATTGAAACATCTCCATGGTTGACATACTGTTAACATTCACGATCTAAGTTGCTGACTTAATTGCTGTGAACTTTAATAGTTTTGTTTTATTTTTATTTTTCTGTTGCAAAAGCATGTATAATTTTATTGATTATTTATGTTTTGAGAGGAAAAGTACCTGATTAGTAACAAATCCTTTCAACATGTTAACAAAGTCAGTCTGCCTTTCACTATCTAGTCTTTTCATTTCACTTCTATTATTATCCTGCAATCACACAATTAACCCATCAGTTAATTTTTTTTACATCAATATGACTTAATTTACTGAACATAAACCAGAGACAAATCTGAAGAGCGAATCAATAGCAAAAACATAGATTGACAGTATTTTTCTCCATGTTCTAAATATGCAAGGAACAAGATGAAAAATAAAGGTGGGAGAAAAAGGAGAAGTGGGAAGAAGTTCAAGTGCATATTTGTCCCTTCCCCTCCATGTCAACAGAACCTAATGCACCCAGTGGTGCAAAACAAAAGAAACAAGCAGATAGATCTAATAAAATTTCACATTAATTTCACAGGAACACACATTGAAAGACTACACATCAAAACCCGCCTGATGATAAAGAATGAGAAACTATTAGTGATAAGGAGGATGATAAAGGACTCAAAAGGGTAGATGATTCTCTTAAATATCCTATTAGTAGTGACAATATAAGAAATTCCTAAATTGTTTGATTAATATCTATTACATAAATAATATGAGAACTTATTATTTGTTACTTTACAGACCTGTTTTCAATTTTGTTTGCAAGTTAGACTTTCAAATTTGTTAATCTATTTTATTATAGACTTTTTAAGATGATTTATGGTTTATTGTAAACATTTTTATTTTTATATTCTTTTAGAGGCTCACATGTCACCACATAGAGGTAAAACGGCTAGGTACCAATTAAACCTTTTTAAATATTGAGAACAAATTTTGTATCCCAAAGTAGCGCTTCTTTTTAATTCTTAAGAGTAAAAACCAAAATTCTTGAACAAATCATCTTTTTTATAATAAAGCAGCATAATTAAGTTCTATAGATGGACGGACATTCATAGTTTTGCTTTCATGTGGATACATGACCATTAGATAAGCACTCAAGAACAAA